ATATATATATATATAAAAAATAATAAAAAAATAAAAAAAAATAAAAATGCAAAAAAAAAAAAAGTTTTAAAAAAATAAATAAACTCCAGTATGCTTGAGAATCCCCCCTTGTTAAATGCAGATTCCTTGGCCCCACATCCAGACACTGATTTAGTAAGTTGCGCTTCTAACAAGCTCCCAGGTGACACTGATACTGCCTGCCCAACGACCTCACTTTGAGGAGCATGGCCTTAGAGATAGAATCTCCCTCTGCAGAAAGGCCTCCTTTCCCACTCGCCTTAGAATTTTTAAATACTTACCAGGCCCCGGATGGTAGATGACTTTTTCTCGAATGTGTTTTATTTCCCCACGAATCCGTAAGGATCTTGGGAGAAGGAACAATGACTTGTTCTTTTTTTTCTAGTTGTCTAGTTCAGTGTTTTGGCTATTGTTCAGTATTGACTAGTTCGGTATTGTTGACCACGAACCACAAATGAAGGTTGGCCTCCTGTGAGACACGCACTTGGGCACTGAGGCTGTCTGTAGTGGTTGTCAGGGGCTGTGTGACTCCATAACCCCCTGCTCCAGACAACTTCCCCCTTCTCTCTCCAACCAGGGTCTCTATTGGCTGGATTCATGCATCTATTCCTGGCCTTCACAGTGATGCGAGCTCCCTGGGAAAAGGCAACAGCCTGGTCCATCATCAAATTAGTTACTTGCTTTGTATTTGTGTTGCCCAGACCCTTGCACAGGTATTTTGCACCTTTGCCATATATCCTGGACCCTGGTGCTTGCTCTTCTACTTACTTCCTCCCTTGAGCTCCTGCAGGATCTCTGTCCTCTGAACACTGGTGTTAGCTTTTGGAATGTTCTTGTAATCCTAACCCTTGTATTCACGTCTTTTGTGGCATCTTTCTCATGTTCTGACATCATGCCACATATTCAGTCATTAATTCAGAATTTTCCCTGGCTTTCTGATAGCTGTATTTGTTCATCCACATTCATTCATTCATTCATTCATTCATTCTCACTCTCTCTGTCTCTCTCTCGCTCTTTCTCACTCCCCACCCCACTCCCATCCATTCCTCACTCCTAGCTGACTCCAGGAGACGGACTAACACAGACGTGGTTCTCAACCTGACTTTCAAATCCCAATCACTTTGTCCTGATTCCTACAATGTACACAAACTTAACCATATGCAATTACCTAGAAAAGTCTGGATTTCCCTCCATTTTAATAAAATTCTGCCTCTTGCCACTTGGAGGTACCTCTGGGTGCCAGAGGTAGCTAGAGTGAAAACTATGTAACACCACATCCTCCGTGCTTGACGCTACAGGTTATATAAAGAATAAACCAGTCTTCAAAGACCTTATAATTTAGAAGGAGAGGCAAGACAGATAACCACAAGGAATGCGATACATTCCATGAACAAAATACAAACCAGGCAGTGAAAAAAATTCAAAAGAAGAAATTTTACGAATGGAATTGTGGTTCCTCCCCAACTCCATCCCCAACAAGATTGATATGTTGAAATTCTACACCCTAATACCGAAGAATGTCACCTTATTTAGAAATAGGGTCTTTGCAGATGTAATTAGTTAAGACGAGGTCCTACTGGAGTAAGCTGGACTCTATCCAATATGACTAGTATCCTTAGAAAGGGGGAAATTTGAAGACAGACATGCATGGAAGAAGGAGGCCATGAGAAGATGAAGATGGAGATTGGGGATGATGCTTCTACTTCCCAAGAAACACCAAAGCTTGCCAGGATGCCATCAGGGCCAGGAGAAAGGCATGGAACAGATTCTTCCTCACAGCCCTCAGAAGGAATCAACCCTGCTGACAGCTTGATCTTGGGTTTGTAGCCTCCAGATCTGGAAGACAATGAATTCCAGTTGTTGAAGCTTCTTGTCTTCTGGTACTTGATGGCAAACCAAGGAAACAAGATTTCTTGACACAGGCTATTAAGGAAGATTTCATTAGAAATGAAGATGATAAGGGGCACCTGGGTGGCTCAGTCAGGTAAGCATCAGACTCTTGACTTTGGCTCAGGTCATGATCCTAGGGTCGTGGGATCAAGCCCCAAATCAGATTCTTTCTCTCTCGCTTTCTGCCCTCTTCCCTGCTTGCACTCTCTCTCTCTAGAAAGTTTTTTTTTTAAATGAAGATGATAAAATTTAAGCTCAGCCTCAAAGAAAGGGCATTCAAAGAGAAGGAAAGAGCATTCAGAAAAATAGAAGGTAGAAAAGCATTGAGCATACTTGGGAACTTGAGATTAGCTTAGAACCTACAGAGGGTCAAGGAGAACAGGCAGAGGACATTAGAGAAAGAGGAGGAGAGCCATTTGTCGATATGAGTATACAAAGTTTGAAAAAATGTATATTGAATTATGAAAATTTTTCCTGTAATTCTATAGATAAGGTTCCCAGCTATGTATGCCTTGTAAATAAAATCTTATTTCTTATACAGAATAGAATATAGTTGCTGAACCCAGCTTTAAACATTTTACTACTGAATTTCAGACTTGAACATTCACAATTTTACAGCCACTGAATGGAAGTTGTGGTATCAGAATTAAAATGTAGGCCTTACGTGTAAAAAGGAGATAATTTCAGAACAGTTTCCCTACTCACATATCAACGATATTTACAGCTTCTAATTCCATTTTAAGGGTTAACACTTGGAAACACAACACTAGGATCAGTTCTGGGATGGATGTCAAAGGGCCCAGATTCAAGGAAAGAGATCATTTCGATCTAGTTTTTTAAAAGTGGCAAAGCCACTTCCCCCAGTGCCTCCATTTCATTTCTAAAAATAGAGCAACATGTCCATTTTTTTTTTTTTACCTCTCAAAAATGAGATGAGATAAAGAGATGTTCAAACAGGGATATATATATACGTTTTGCTCAATCTCCTCGCAGTGGAATGAAAAGGATAGACTATATAATCTCTAATATCCCTTCCAGTATTAACATCCTAACCAGCAAAAGTGAAGAATTGAAACCCAGACACGAGCTTACAGCAGTAGAAATGGGGTGTGTGTGTGTGTGTGTGTGTGTGTGTGTGTGTTGGGGGGAGGAGGTGTATGTATGTACACATACACGTCTCATATCTACATTTGTGCCATTAGATGGCAGCAGGAAGCTAAGTCATAGCAAAGTTGTCTTCAGCTGTTTCTGCTGTCAGAAAAGTTTCCCTTGGCTTTTTCTTTTTCTAATGTTTATTTATTTATTTGGGGAGAGAGAGAGAGAGAGAGAGAGAGAGAGAGAGAGAGAGGCAGAGAGTGAGAGAGAGAGAGAATCCCGAGCAGGCTCCACACCATCAGCACAGAGCCCAACGTGGGCCTTGAACCCACAAACCGTAAGATTGTGACCTGAGCCGAAATCAAGGGTCAGATGCTCAGCTGACTGAGCCACGCTGGTTGCCCCTGACTTTTTCTTTTTAACGTAGTCTCCACAGGGTTCTCAATCTCCCTCTCTCCCTCTCCCCTAACTTAAAGACCACCTATTCATTAAATTATGGAATATGTCAAATGTTCACAAACCCATCACACACAAGTTCAACAAGATTTTTCATACTTCCTTCAACTATCCCCCCATCTTTCTCTCTTCCTGTCTCCCTTTCCAATGAATTTTAAAGCAAACCCCAGACATCGTGTAGTTTCACTCCTTACACTTAGATGTACCCATCTAAAAAATATATGCTTATTCTTACGTAATCAGAATGCCATTATGAAACTTAAAATTAATTTCTTGGAGTCAGATCATGTCTCTTTTCAATGTTTTGAAGCAAGAATAATGGCAATATTTTACATAACTTACAATTTAACAAGAAATGATACTTGAATAATAAACCAGAGGTTTCTGATACAACATTGCTATAAAAATGGCTTTAGAAAAGTATACATTGTAATTAGAAGTTGGAAGGCCTGAGGACTGTCTTCCCATGGATTTTATTCCATCTCAATACTGTTCTATGCTTCAGTTCCAATAACCCCAGAACGATGCTATTACCTGAAAGGGCTCTGCTGAAGATTAAAGAAATAGCATCTGTTAATCTCATTAAGTTCATTGAGGCAGGATGAGGCTGGGTGCTGGTAAATGGAGCAGATAAATAAATGTGAGGCATATACACTTTTTTTTTTTCAATGTTGAAAAGTAATCACAGAGAACCTTGTCTCCTTCGGCGCACGTACTGATACTTCAGAGCACGTGTGACACATGGAAATCCTATTAAGCAGGATAGGGTGGACTTAGGTAGGAAAGTCATGCCAGAAACTACCTCTAAGTAACCCTGGGAAGATGCCTACGGCTCTGGGAAGAGACATATAAATACATGTCCATGTCATTTAGATCTTAGATTTCTGGGAAACAAGGATTTAGAAGAGGGAGTCGGGTTGATTGATAATTATTCCAGAAAAAAAAAAAAAAAACAATTCACGTTGTCAGTAAATAGCAAAAACATTCATATTACCCACCTATTCTGCTTTCAGCAATTTATCCTAAGGGAAGAAACAGATATAGGCAAAGATGCGTTTATAAGGTCATTTGTATTGGTATTGTTTGTAATGACAAACATTTTTAAATAACCTTTAAATATTCAACAATAAACTGGTTGAGTGACTTCCATTATAGCACCATGATGGTATACTTTGTAGCCATTTAAAAGTCCCTGGTAGGAATACATGGACTGACATGTTAATGTTTTGACATTATCTTTAGTGAAAGATGTTATAAAACAGTACCAGGGCACCTGGCTGGCTCAGTCCGTGGAGCATGTGACTCTTGATCTCAGCGTTGTGAGTTCGAGCCCTGCTTTGGGTGTAAAGATTACTTAAAATTAAAAAATCTTTTAGGGGTGACTGGGTGGCTCAGTCAGTTAAGTGCCTGACTTGGGCTAAGGTCATAATCTCATGGTTCATGAGTTCAGGCCCTGCATCGGGCTCTGTGCTTACCATGTGGAGCCTGCTTGCAGTTCTCTCTCTCCCTCTCTCTCTCTCTGCCCCTCCCCTGCTCATGCATTCTCTCTGTCTCTCAAAATAAGTCAACTTTTAAAAAATCTTTAAAAAAATAGAAAAAAGAGTGGAATTTCCCTTTAATTATAATTGGATATGTGTATATGTACTTACATACATACACACACACTCAGAGACACAAGATTAGACAGAGGGTTAACATAATGCTAATCGTAATTATTCCTTTAAGTAGAATGCAAAAATGTTTTGTCTCTAGATTTTTCCACCATGTATACATAAAATTTATGTAAAAAAGTTTTTTTCTTTTAAAAATTCGACTACTGATCTGGCAACATGCAAAAATGACCTATAGTAAAATGCCATGCCATCCAGAGAAATAACACATGAAAGGAAAATAGGCGAAGGGAAAGCAAATCCTTCAGAAACACAGAGGGATCCGAAATCCTGACTGGGTCGTACATGAATTGATGATGCTCAAGGTTGTGAGCACAGTAGAAATAGGAGCTAGCAACAGGTACTAAACACCAGAAGCTTGGATTTTAATACCACACAAGGACAGGAGATGAAAGTTCAGGTTAGGTGGTAAATTCAAAATAAAGAAAATATAATATACTTGAGCAAATGAACCCCATTCACGCAACAGGATTGGCCCCTCAAGAACTTGTTCTTTTGGAAGAGTCTGAAAGAGATTTTGAAACAAGTATGTTTAAAATTATTAAAGAGATTTCTAAAAGGAAAGAATAGAACATTATGAAAAAAGAACAGGAGGATTTGAAAAATAAAATATACAGAAATTTAAAGTTACTGAAACAAAAACCTCCATAGATAGATTCTTTCCTCAAAAAAAGTTAAGTCAATGAATTAAATAAATTAACTTGCAATGAAGAAATTGTTAGAAATCTCCAAAACAGCACTGAAAAATTAGCCAGATAGAGTCCAAAAAGATAAAGAAGTGTATGAAAAAATGTGAAAAAGAGGCTAAGAGATATGTTGGATAAAAGGAAAATGTCCAAGAGACATATAAAAAGGGGAAGGAAAGAATATAGATGATGAGGTAAAAGCAGTGTTTTAAGAGAATATGCTCAAGGGTTTCCTGAATTGATGACAGACATGAATCCACATCCAATGAATCTCAATGAGTTCCAGACAGTACTGTACACATACACATACACACATCCCACACACGTATTTCTAAACCCATTGTAATGACACTGTGGCCACTAAGGAAAAAAAAAGAAAATCTTAAAAACAGCTTGGGAGGGGGCGGGGGGGGGGGAGAATTTCCACAAAGGAAAAACAAAAATACCACAGTTGACACCAGGAGATAATGGAATATTATTCTCAAAGTGCTTCAGGAAAATTACTGTCAGGTTAAAGTTCTCTACCCAGGGAAGCTGTCATTCAAGAGTAAGAACAAAATCAAAGCATTTGAAGACAAAAAGACTGAAACAGCTTAGCATCTCCAGAACTTGGTAAGAAACAAACTGATCCTAGAAGAAAGAAACAGGAGCAAGGACAATGGTACTCAGAGAATCTGGTTGCCTGTGTGTAGATCTAAATGAGCTCTAACTAAAACTAAGCCAACAACACAGAGGAGATGGCAAGGGTGGGAAGGAACAAAGTGCACCTAAAAGACTGAACAACAATAACAACATATCAGATGAGGGATTATTAGAGTCAAAGCAATTCTAGGGTCTTACATAATTCAGGAGGAGGAGAAACACAGATTAACCTTAGATTTTAAGTCAAGGATGCATGGTAAATACAAGAGTTACCAAAAAAGTAATATAGAACTTCTAAACCAGTAGAAGGAAAAGGAAGATAAAGAAAACTTCATTATCCCAATAGAAGACAAGCAATGAGAAAAACAACTACAAGAGAAGACTTGGTTAATAGAAAACCTAAAGTAAGAAGAGGGAAAAGTCCAAAATCTAATAGCAAACACAATACAGTATCATAGATAAATTAATTCCAGACAAAGAAGACTCATAGGTACAACCCCGCCCCCAAAATTATTATAAATAATAATGGAAAAGCTTCCCATCCCACTGAGTAGATCTCACTTAATGCTAATAATAAAACCAGAGAATAACAACACAAAAATGAAAAAGTATAGGCCAATCTCATTTGTAAACAGGATGCAAAAATACTAAATAAAATATTGGCAAAACCAAACCTGAGTGTAGATTTTTAAATAAGAAAAAAAAATCCTGCATTATTACAAGAATACAAGAATCTATTAGTTAACAAGAAAAATCTATTCATGTAATTCACCATATAAACAGATTAAGGTACAGAAACTGATATTCTTAATAGATGCAAGAAAAAATATTTGATAGAATTAGCATAATCATAAATTTAAAAAGAAAAAGCCTTAGCAAACTAGGACAAAAGCGTCTTTATTTTATTTTTACATTTTTTTCAAAGTAGTCTCTATGCCCAACGTGGGGCTTGAACTCACGACCCTGAGATCAAGAGTCGCATGCTCCACCAACTGAGCCAGCCAGGCAACCTGAGAACTTCTTCAAAGTGTGTATCAAAAACCTACAGCAGGGGTGCCTCGCTGGCTCAGTTGGTGGGACATGTGACTCTTGATCTCAGGGTTGTGAGTTCGAGCCCATGTTTGGTGTAGAGATTACTTAAAAGTAAAATCCTAAAAAAAATTCAAAAACCCTACAGCAAACATCACAGTAAATGTACAATTATAGAAGTGTTCCACTCAATCATAAATAAGATCCTTATGCATTATGCTTCTGTCAGGGAGGTCCTATCCAGAACAAGAAAAATAAAAGATATGAAGAAAAAAAAAATGTTTGTGTCCTAAATTCATTGTTCTACCCTTGGATAGCAAAGGGTACTTGAATCAAAGTCAAGTCAGCCCTGCAATTGTTTGCAATTGTTAACGATGATCTTGGGCAGAGTGGGCATAAAGGAGTCGGGAAGTCTGTTGACAAAGGTGTTTTGAGAAAACAGGCTCTTAATTAGCTCTGACTTCTTGTTAAGTAGATAAAGAAAAGGTTCATAAAAACTTACAGGCCTGTGATTGTAAAATTTAAGTTAAATCTATCATAAACTCATCCTGAGTTTTCCTGTAATATTAATATTTATTTTAATTGTTTCAGAAACTGTTGATTTATAAGTCTGTTACTGGAACATGCTAGTTGTAGGAAAGTCACAATGTCTGCTATAGAAAGTGGATCACTTAAAGTTGCAATCTTTACTTGCATGGACGTTTGGTGTTTCCCTGCCAACTTCAGCGATCATTAATTCACTATGATTCCACATAGCTCACACTGACAACTCAACCATGCATAAGAGGAACAAAGCTACAGATATTTTTCTCCTTCTGAAAAGATATATTTCAAGTGAAAACAGTCACTAGCAGATTAAAACACAATGCGGAATTCTATCAAATATTGGAAGAAGAAATAATACAAGAATATCAAGACAATTTGGAAGAAAAACAAGGTGGGCATCATTGTAATTTCTCAAAACTCATTATAAATTTATAGCAACTAACAAATGTCTTCGCAGTATAGGGATAAGCAATAGACCAATGATACAGAAAAAAGGGAGCCTAGAAAAGAAACCCATGTTTCTCATGAGAACTTGAGATGATAGAGATGGCCTGGTAAATCATGGGGAAAAATAGGGTTTTCAATCCATATGAAAAGCTACGATAACTTCTCTTCTCCATACTACACATCACACACCATATGCTGGAATACCAAATAAGAAGAAAGAAGAAAGAAGGAGGAGGAGGAGGGGGAGGAGGAGGGGAAGGAGAAGGAGAAGAAGAAGGAGAAGGGGAGGAGGAGGAGGTAGAAGAAAAAGAAATAAGAAGAAATAAAAAATAAAAATAAATCCAGATTTATTTTAAACCTAAAGAGAAAAAGCAAAACTTTAAACGTCTAAAAACTTTTAGACAAAAATACAGGATAATATATTTTTGTGAGCTCAGGATATGGATGATGTTCTTAAATAAGGCAATAAAGACACAAATCACACAGGACTGCTAAATTTGATGGCATTAGAATAAATTTCTGTGTGAGAAATAAATTTCTGTGTGAGAAAAACAGCACACTCCCAAACACAGACCAGGAGGAGGTAATTATAAAGAACAAAAGGAGGGAGAGGCAACAAGGGGGCTGGGGATGACAATCTAATAAGAAGATATCAGAAATATATGAACAAGTAATTTACAAAAGAAGAAATACGAATGGCAAAAAAAATCACTATTAGATTAAACCACATCAAAATTACCAACATATACCAGTTTTTGGCAAAAATGCAATTTAGTATAGGAAAAACTAGCAGCAGAAAGGGCTATAAAAATTAAAAGAGATACCATTTAAAACCTATCAGATTGGTCATCAGGATTTGCAAAATTATGTGGAAACACAAATTCTTATACAGTTGCAAAAGAAAGCGTAGACTGGTACAAGGACTTTGGTAATATCTAGTAAAACTACTGAATAGGCATATTCTAAGACCAAGCAATTTCACTCTTACGTTATCCAATAAATTCTTGCACATGCTCACTCAGAGGCAACCTAAAAATATTGCATTCAGGTTCTATAGAGAAATAGAACCCATGGGGGGCAGGGTGTGGCGGGGTGTATGTGTGTTGTACAAAGAGACTTACTTTAAGTATTTGGCTCATGCCGTCACAGAGGCTGAGAAATTTCAAAGTAGTCAGCTGAAGATGTAGGACAGCCGATGCGGTTTCAGTCCAAATCTGAAGGCCGGAGAACTAGGAAAGC